GGTAGACAGTTATTTTATTATTATCCCTACCTCATACATCTGACAGCTGACAAATCTTTATTTCAAGCCAACAGAAGACTTACATATTTATGGTACTTTAGAGCTAAAGTGTCTCTTCCAAATTTATCCCCAATGCTTTTTTGTAAGATCCGGAAGACAAAGTCTTATTGAAATCTTGTTTTCCTAATGTATCAAGACCTTAAAATTCAGGTTTGACTTTTAAAAATTTTTACCTGAGCAAAATATCTTCTATATTATGACACGATTCTGTTTTTTCTCCGCAGCTGTCGAAGACTTCAAATGATTTAGCCAACATGGCTGCCATCTATCTCGTTGACATTGACAAAGTGCCAGTATACACACAGTACTTCGACATATCTCTCATACCTTCTACAATATTTTTCTTCAATGGTCAACATATGAAGGTAGATTGGGGGTGAGTAACGATTACTTTTCTTTATTCATTGAATTTTAGTTAGTTTTTAGGGTTAGGGAGCTTTCTGATTGCCATACCGTACGCCCTGGGGTCATTTTGTACCCCCAGGGTTGTATTCTTCACATTTTAGATACTTCTAGTACGAAGATCTTTCAGTACGAAACTTTCAGTATTTCTCAAAAATCATTTTGACAGACTGTTATGCAAAGCGTACAGATTGGATAAGCAAGTAAATTTCCTCTTTGGAAAGTGGTGACACAGAATTCCCCATGTTGTGTGGATACGATAGTAAAACACACAACTTGACGAATAGGGTTAATTTATAAAGCTAACTGAAATTCAGGATACAGCCTACTCCCTGCCCTCTCTGACCCCAACCCACCTTCCTTTTCTCTAAAATGGGAAAGTTTTCCTCCAAGTTGAATCCTTTTATTTTTTAAATAAAAAGTTTTTAAGCTTTTGAGGAAGATTTTGTAATCATGCTGAGTGAGTTCACTGAGATGTCATTTTTTAGTTGGCTTATAATTGTGTTCTGTTCAGTTGTAGCAAAAGTGAGCGTCAGTCATAATCAGTACTTTGCTGACTGAAAGACATTGCGGTTTTTCAGAGATTTGTTGTACATTTTCATCATGAGTGTTCTCGTTTTTAAAAAGTATCAACTTTGGAAACGTGGGAAAGAAAAGCAGTAAATGAAATTTAATTCTTTGTGGTTTCCCTTTTCCTTTGTTTTGTAAGTCTTGTAGCATTGGGTGTTCAAATGCAAAATCGAATTGTTTCTTCCAGAAGATTTCCATTTAAAAAAAAATTCACTTTGATTTTGCAAATCTATATTCGAAATAATAATGAGAACAAACTGCACATAGCTGCTTGTCAGGCAAAGGATGATTTTTCTTTCTATGTAGATAAATGCCATGTACATAAAATCAACTACACTGTGAAATAAAATTCGTAAAATTTTTCACTCCCTGAGCTCTAGCAGGTGTACAAGAGGAAGATGATTTTGATAATAGTAATAGTTTGTCTATCAGTGTCTAACAATGACCAGTGCATCTGCAGAGGAGAATATTTGTGGGGGAGCGTGGTGTAATCAGGCTCTCGTCAGTTTTTGGGCATGTAGAATTATTGGTATCATCTTAAAGCTTGTTCACTTGTTTATATTTGGATGAAAAAAAAATCCATTTTCTAGAATACAAGTCGAGATATTTGCGAATGAAGGAGGAGGGGGTCACCTGTTTTCAGAGGTAAAATTAGTGAGAAAATGGCCGCCAAAGATTAGTTATTTCCTTAGCTTAAGAGTCCTTGGTAACTGAAAATTTACATTTTTTGTGCCTTTTATCAACGTTTTTAAGAAAAATCCACACAGAAATGAGTTCTTTAATGGGCATGAAAGGTGATGAGCCAAAATTTAAAAATTTGATAAAAATCCACAATCCTGCGGAAAAATGTATGTTTCTTCACTTTGATTATTTTGACGAGAGCCTGATTCCACCACGCTGCCTCACATTTCTTAATTGAAACATAATAAATAAAGATTAAGATGACTTGTAGCTTCTGCTATGGCCAATGAGACAAGTTCTAGCAAGGCAAATGATTTAATACAGTCCAACCTGCTCAAGCATCCATCTGTATAAAGGACCACACTTCCCCTTCCTTCATTGCATTTTTTTCCCCCTAAATAATGACATTATCCAAGATGACCACTTGTTCAGCTCGACTGCTATATTTTTATTTTTATCAATTAATGGGCCAATAATCTGTCCAAAAAGGCCATGCAGATCTCTCATCATTCAAGGAAAAACCCAAACAGCCCTTTACCCCTCCTTACTTCCAAAATGAAAATACATTTTATTGGGCTTTATGACAGTCCTAAGCCTGCAACCACTCCCAGTTGGGACCTCAGACAACTGGGAGTGGTTGCAGAATGTTTAATGCTCCATTTAATGTTAACATGATTATACATGTTAGTTTGGTCATGCATGTATATTATCTAAAAGTTGATGTTAGAAAATATTTTCAGTGGGGCATCCCCTTCAAGCCGCCTGCAAAAAGTCAATCCTTGCAATATGTTGTCTTTTTAAAAACCTTTTATCTGATCTCCCAAGAAGGCCACCTGTCTCAGAGGACAATTCTTCTCCTCAACAATGGGTGCTCGTCTTGGTCAGGTTTGATGGATTTGTGTTTCCCTTCTAAAAATAAAAATTAGATGTATGGAAAATAACTAACTCTTTGTAGGCTGCTTGCAGGTTGTGCCCTTCTGAAAATATTTTCTCACATTGACCTTTAGATAGCATTATGACCAAACTTACATATAAAATAAAATTGTGTTAACATTGAATGGACCATCAAACGTAAAATTGACTAATTTCTTATCTGTCCTAGAATCATGAATATTTTTTCCCTCGAAATGCATTAAAGAATAAAAATGATGATTCCATTAAATTTTCTTTCTTTCTTTCTCCATCCCGTGTTTGTGGATCCATCTCCACGCCTGTCTCCTGTGTGTGTTGGTGCTGCCAGGAGCCCGGACCACACTAAGTTTGTTGGAAGCTTCAAGACCAAGCAAGACTTTGTGGACGTGGTTGAGGTGATTTACCGCGGCGCTATGAAGGGAAAGGTCATGGTGACTAGTCCTCTGGATCCGAAGGACATTCCAAAATACAGCTTGTTGTATAAAGATATTTGATTGTGGTATTAACATCATCATCATTATCATCATCAGTCTTTCTCATCTTGTGCCGTAGTGTAGGCCACCAACAAGAGCCCCCTTATGCCTGTCCTGGGCTGTAGTCTCCACCTCTGTCCAGCTGTCTCCCATCTTCTATAGGTCATTTGGTGGCTTCTACAGTTTAGTCCACCTAAAGTGAACACTCTTTATTTGAACAATCGGTTAAAGTGAACGATATTCTGTGGTCCTGATTGAAACACTATTTGTTTAAGTAAAAAAATAGTGGATGAAATGAACCGGTTTTATGGGGAAATGGGATAAGGTGAATGCCCAAATGAGTGAAAGGGAAAAACGGACAGACCGTGTCACTATCGCCGTGTTGTGAAAATAAAATTCTTTGCTTCTGGCATCGGCAGACAATCCCAGCTCGGCGTTGGCGATGGCAATCAGAAAGAAAGAGCTCTAATCTAGGCTCGCCTGCTGTGTTGTCCCCCCCACCCCACCTCCACCCTAGACCCACCACTGCACGTCTACTGTTACACCCTACCCTATGGTGCGTTCTGCATACTTGCGCACATCCATAACACACCAGCCCTGCCGTTATATTCACACCTTCCATTATAGCAGCTCACCATGACCTCTCCATCCCTGTATCAGAGAAGTGAGAGGCATGACTAGACAAGACTAGGAGGCTGGCCTATCACGCGATGTGTTCTGCCTGTCTGCGCATGCCACTCTCCACTCATCATTCGCCCGACCTTCATTTGTTGAAAACGTGGGAACCCCCATTCTTTCTTTCACTAGATCACCAACAAGCAACACATTTCCCAACTCTCTAAGCAGTATGTCAAAGCATACAACTCTCTGCTTGGACATGAAGTTGAAATTACTGCATGATGTTGATTCCAAGTCAATGACACAGTCAGCTATCGCCAAAAAATATGGTGTCGCCAAAAGCACTGTGTCCACAATCATAAAAAAGCGGTCGCAAATTGAATTTGCCTGCAACAGTTCAATCTACCATCCAGAGAGGAAACGAATGCGCACGGGGAGAGCCGAAAATGTAGAAGAAGCCCTCTTCTCGTGGTTCAAACAAGCCCAAGCGATGAATGCACCAATATCAGGTGAAATACTGATGAATGTTGCCAACCAGCTGGCCGAAGAAATGAAGGTTGAGTTCACTCCCCGCACTGGATGGCTTGATAGATTCAAGAAACGGAGGGGAATCACTTGTAAGACTGCTTCTCGTGAAGCAGGCTCAGTGACAGCTGAACAGACTGATACCTGGTTGTCATCAACGCTACCAGCTCTCCTCTTGGAATACAGCCGGGAAGACATCTACAACTGTGATGAAACCGGGCTCTACTACAAGTGCCTTCCCGACAAGACTCTGGCACTGAAGGGCGAAACATGCTCAGGGGGAGAAAAGGCCAAGCATCGGCTCACAGTACTCGTGGCCGCCAACATGAGTGGCACGGATAAACTTCCCCTTCTAGTGATAGGGAAAGCCTCGAAGCCCCGCTGCTTCAAGAATGTCAACACCCTGCCTCTAGACTACACTGCCAACAAAAAATCCTGGATGACGGGGGCTGTTTTTGAAAAGTGGCTGCGAAAAATGGACAGAAAGTTTCACAGCCAAGGCCATCAAACACTGATGGTTGTTGACAATTGTCCTGCGCATCCTCAGGTTGACAACTTGAAAGCAATAAAACTTGTTTTTCTGCCACTGAAGGCAACAAGCAAGCTTCAATCTTGCGATCAGGGAATCATTCAGTCCTTAAAACGACACTATCGGCGGCAGCTTCTGCAGAAGTACATTCTGTATTTGCAAACTGCAGGCAAGGTACGGGACATCGATGCTTTTGACATCAGTGTTCTGGAGGCCCTGTACATGCTACAGACTGCTTGGACCAATGTGTCTGAGTCAACAGTGTCCAACTGTTTTCGTCACGCCGGATTCAAGACACAAGAGGCCCGAGATGTTGAGAAAACACCTGAGGAACTGGCAGATCAGACTGATTTTCTCAGCCTCTTTGAACGTCTGCAAAACCTCATCCCCATGGAAGAGACAGCCCAGGCTTTCTGCGATATAGACAGCGCTGTTATTGTGTGTGAGGAGGAGGCCACCATTCAGGGGATTTCCAATGCAGTCAACAATGAACACGATGACCACGATGACTCAGGACAAGAGGAGGAAGAGGCCGAGGGTGAAGAAGAACAGCCAACAAAAAAACCAAAGACGGCATCCGAGGTGAGGGCTGCAGTGACAATACTGCAAGAATTTGCCCTAGAACAAGGCAATGACAATTTGATAGACCTTGTTTGCTCCATAGACAACACAGTGACCAGTCACCTCGTCAATCGTAAATCGCAGACACAGACAAAAATTGATCAATTCTTTCAAAAGAAGAACTGATGAGTTTCTCTGTTCAGTTTCATTTGCTTTTGTTGTTCCTGTTCTAAAATTTGATCTTTTGTGTGTGTTAGTGTGTGTAACTGTTAGTAACATCATCTTTGTTTTTCTTTCCTGTTAGGTTGAACTTGGAGAGAGAGAGAGAGAGAGAGAGATAGAGAGAGAGAGAGGGAGGGAGGGAGGGAGGGAGAGAGAGAGAGAGAGAGAGAGAGAGGGAAAGAGAGAGTAGGCCTACCATGTACTTTTCAGGATGGCAAACCAAAAACCACAAAACAAGAACAAAACAAAGCAATTTATAACACAAAACATATGATGTTCTGACAATAATGCGAGGTCCTGATTCAAATGTGTAAAGGGCAAAAGGGAGGTAATCAGTGACTCTTCCAACCACTGTTCTGTCACAGTCACAGACACTTCCCTTGATTTTCTTCAATAATTCTTAATTCTTAATTGTATCGTTATTGTACACTGGGTATTAGAGAAGTAATGTTTTCTGAGCTTATCCCTGACACATAGATGTACATTTATTGAATTTGTAATAATACGTTATGAAATAAAAGTTGCATTGTAGCTTTGGTGATTATTGTTCCTTAGTAAGAGAAATTACTGAGAATTTAATATGTTTCCATCAAACACAGACTATTTGTGTGTGCGTCTGTGTAAGTAATTGAATGTTGTGTGTGTTTTTGTGTGAGTGTGTGTTTGTATAAGTGTGTGTGTATGTGAGAGAGTGTGTGTGTGTTTGAGTGTGTTGATGTGTAAAGGCTTGTGTATGTACATGATGAATGCTTGCTGTGCTGCAACAAATTTCTCTTTGTGGATGTCAATAAAATGTTGTCATATCCTACCTCATCACATTTCATCTCAGTGCACTTTATTTTATCTACTTTACCTTACCTTACCTTACCTTACCTTACCTTACCTTACCTTACCTTACCTTACCTTACCTTACCTTACCTTACCTTACCTCACCTGACCTCACCTGACCTCGCCTCGCCTCACCTTACCTTACTTTACCTTACCTTACCTTACCTTACCTTACCTTACCTTACCTTACCTTACCTTGCCTTGCCTCGCCTCGCCTCGCCTCACCTCACCTCACCTCACCTTCCCTTGCCTTGCCTTGCCTTATCTTACCTTGCCTTGCCTTGCCTTGCCTTACCTTACCTTACCTTACCTTACCTTACCTTACCTTACCTTACCTTACCTTACCATACCATACCTTACCTTGCCGTATCTTACCATACCTTACCTTACCTTACCTTACCTTGCCTTGCCTTACCTTACCAGGCCTTGCCTTGCCTTGCCTTACCTTACCTTACCTTACCTTACCTTACCTTACCTTACCTTACCTTATCTTACCATACCTTACCTTACCTTACCTTACCTTGCCTTACCTTACCTTACCTTACCTTACCTTACCTTACCTTACCTTACCTCGCCTCGCCTCACCTCACCTTACCTTACCTTTCCTTGCCTTGCCTTGCCTTGCCTTATCTTACCTTACCTTACCTTACCTTGCCTTGCCTTTCCTTACCTTACCTTACCTTACCTTACCTTACCTTACCTTACCTTACCTTACCTTGCCTTGCCTTGCCTTGCCTTGCCTTGCCTTACCTTACCTTACCTTACCTTACCTTACTTGAATTTGAATCAGTGTTGAATTTTGGGTCGTTGGGGTTGACTGCTATCTGTGAACTGATATTGATAGTATTGCACTGGTAGACTAGTGGTCAGCCAGACTTACTCTGCAGTAAGGTCGTAAGTTCAAATCCCAGCCTGGGCCTGCAGTTGGGTCCTTGGAAAAGACTCACGCTTCCACCACTATGCTCCGGTAAGCTAAAGACAGCGAAAGATATTGTCAGTATTTTAGCGCCTATAAAATAATCTCGGTTGAGTGATGAGAATGAAAACGCTCGGAGGTCTGTCTTGTGTGCACGTTGCGCATGTTAAAGATCTTTTGTTCGTTGAAAATCGTAAAAGAGTAGGCTTTAAGGCCGCCACCGCAGCGAAATTTAAATTTTGAAAATTCTCTATCATAAAAAGTACCCTTATCTCACAAGTTGCAAAATTAAAACTGTAAGACACACCAGTATACTCTAATACTTATACCTTCCATTATATTCCAAACGTTTTGACCTCTACTCTGGAGTATATCAAGGAAGTCGAGAAGGGAGGGGAGTAGGCTACATGTCACATTTTAATTTTAAAATGTACCTGGGAAATCTACTTCCTCTCTCAGTCTATGTCTACCTCCCAGCTAAAGCTGAATCATTCATACTTCTGTTTAATATAATATAAAGATCGTTTGTTTGTTTTATGTTTTAGTATCTAAGTGTTTTACTTGCAACACAGTTAAGTCATATAAGTGCTGAAGATTAGAGGTGTTACAATAGAGTAACGAATACAACAACAAAAAAGGAAGGAGGGGAAATAAAGACGATAGATGTTTGATAGGAAAAAAAGAAGCAAACTTAACCAAAGCACCCACCAACCACCTACTAAAGATCGTTTGTCAAGACGCAGAAGGTCCTAGAAGAGATCATACAATTGCAGCCCGCCCTTGTAACTTCTCAGGACCCTGAAAATATTCCAGAATGTTATACGTGTACTTGTACCTGCATATAGCCTACATGTATAGTGTGGCGAATGGGTGATTCATAGTCGCATTCAGATGTGCCGAGTTCGATTCCCGTGTGGGAAGAATTCTTATCAAGTATCTCAGTCTTTCTTTTGAGATGTTGCGTCACTCTTTTCCCGGGTTGGCTATGCTATGACAGGCAGGATCGAAGCCTGCCGCCTAAATTATTTAAATTGTGTCTATGGGGGCGTAAAAAAACCCACACTCATTAATTATAATTATTTATTTCTATCATCACACATTTTATAAATAGAATCTGTCTGGA